AAATATCCATTCAGCCTCTCAGGATACATATACTTTAATGTAGTCCTTCGGAAAAAGTTCATATTTTGTTTTTTAATTTGAAAAAATAATACCACAATTATATTTTATATACAAATTGTAAAATTATCGTTAATGGAACTTTAACCTAAAAATTAAGTGATATTACTTTTTAATATTTAAGAATTAAATTAAGATAATTTTATATAATTGAAAACAAAAATAAAATCAACTTGAAATGTATTTTTTATCATTGAAAATAAATTGATATAATTTTATAAGTGAATATCACTTTAATTACATCACATAAGCATACATATTTTCATAGTGTTTTGAAACGGAAAAAATTCCTAATTCTAATATTTGCCAATTTTTATTTTTTCAATCGTGAGAATTTACAGTTGATATTTTACTTACCTAGATCAATCAATTTTCATATATTATATAACCTACAATGAATGAGTGGCAATGATTTTCAGGCATAAATTTTATCTAATAAGTGAATTAGTATTTTTTTCCCCTCATTCTAATTTTATAACATTTCTTGAATGAGTGGCTAATTTACTCATAATATATGAAATTGTTAAAGACTAGGAGAGGAGACTTTTCCCCTCTTCAAGTAAAATATATCAATGTATCAACCAAAGTTATTAAAATCGGCCCGGTCGGTCAATGACCCAGTCGAAGTATTGAGTTACTGGATCACTGGTTGAATCGCATGACCCGGTGATTATATATAAATTTATAATTTATATTAAAAAATTATAAATATACTCAAATAGCTGAAAAAATAATACAAATTATAAATATTTTAATATAAAAATAAATAAATTATACATTATTGTCCAATAAAGGATCAAACAAACACATAATGCTTGTTATATCGTTGTTTCAGGTTCAGTAATGACATCTCTAACTCTAACTATCAAATCAAAATTCTCTGCATAATGCATAACTGAGATAATATTAAGATTGTACTTACGTAATTTATGTAAGTCAATAAGTAATAGATCACTCAAATATGTCAATTATGATTTCTTTTTGGAAAACTTTTTTTTTTGAAAATATTTTTTTAAAAAAACCCGGGCCGGGTCACTGGTTAACCGGTCGGGTCACCGGTTTTTCATCAAAATCGGTCGGGTCGTACCGTGTCTAATACTTGACCGATCCAATGTGATAACCGAACCAATCAGATAATCGATTCACCGGGTTCCGAGTCGACCCAGCCTATCCGGTCCAATTTTCACAACATTGATTTCAACGATCGGTTGAGGCATTAATATGAAAAACTATAGCTCAAAAAAGTGCAAGGGCACGGTTTAACAAAGTGACAAAATAATAAAAGTTTAGTGATGCTAAAAAAAAGAGTGCCTCCGTAATGGAAAAGTGTGATATTGTTTTGTATTCATAGTTGATCTCACTTATATTTAATTATTTATAAATTAATAAATTAAAACAATTAGTATTATATAAATATAAGTTAATATATTGCCTTATATATATATGGGTTCGTTTTTTCTGAAGTTACTGCAGATAAGTTATCTACAGTAAGCTCAATACGACATCATTTTGGACGAAAATCATGATATTTTTATAATTTTAATTTATTTTAAAGTTATTATAGTCTTTATAATTATAATTCTTTAATCTTTCAATTTCAAAATGATATTATTTTAAAAATAAATACAGATATTTTTATGTATATAGAAAAGCGTCTGACTTGAGTTGCCAGCATAGAACTATTTATACTTATGCTTCACCCTTCAAGGAAATGAAGAAGAAATTACCCTGCATGACGTGTAATTTGTTATGCAGAGAGAGCGCAGTATTCATCTGCAAACATTATTAATTGTAAATTTTTTATGTCTATATATGTGAGAGCAAGCAACCTGGGCCCCATGGATATACTCGTTCGTTTTGTCCCTATCAGCATCGCAAAGTGATCACCACGTATTATATTGTATAATGTAAACCTAAGAGAAATTCTTAATTATTTGAGGAATTGACCATTAAGATATATATGAACAAAACAAGAAGATAAAGCAATTGTCCATTCTCTCGTGTTTTTTTCTCTTTCAAATACTACAATACAAGGAAACAGCTAGACGAACCAGAATAAAAGAGGAATACCCTACTTGCATGTCAATTACTGCCCGTTTGCAATATAAATTTCCTATTTTTCATTTATAATATTTTAACATCTTGCAAGTTCAAATAAGACATCTCTGTTTATGATATAAAATTCATATACGCCTAAATTTTATAATTTTTATGCATGTACCTTATTTGATATTTAAGAATATATGATAAGATATAAAATATACTTTTTAAATAGATAAAAACACTTTTAGCTTTTCTTATCCGTAGTCACACTTGACGCTAATGTGATGGGGTGAGAGCATTTATTTAATCTTCATTACCGTCTTTAGGAGTTTAAAGTCTTAATCTCAGGATCTACTCCAAATTGAACTATTTACAAATCGATGAATTGATTGAAATATCTAAAAAAATATTAAAAATCATGAACCTGCCTTTGCTAGTTACCAAGCATCAATCTAATTATTGGCTAAACCGTTCATCCAAAAACCAAGAAATATACGAAAACAATTATCTTGTAATAATCTTTAAAATTCTATCTTGATAAAAAGATTAAAACATAAAACTTATACATATGTGTATATATCATAAGTGGACAATACTGTTATGGCATTTCCAAAGATGAGTGAGTTAAGGTGTGTGTCTGAAATAGGTTCAAAGTTCGCACGTGGGGTGTGTTGGGTCTCAGGAATTAAAACCACAGTAAAAGAAGGGACTATATACTACGAAATCAATCATGTTGATCGTTCATTCGACGTGTCCCAAAATAAGGTTCCTCGTTCCAGATGTTTTATTCTTGGAGAGACACAACTTCACTTTACTAAACTAACCAATACTGTGTTGCCAAGTATGATAATCTTACCACGTCAACTTGAGAGAGTTGTGTAGGAAAGGGACCCGCCATTAAGGATCGGTTCCACCTCTCACATGAATCAGTAAGTGGTAGGTGTGATCTTGATCTATTTTAGAATAGGCTCGAATCGAATTTGATCGAACCATGAAATCGGCCTTCTCATTAAGATTTCTGGTATCGTGTTTGTTATTGTTGCTTACACTAATATTATTTAAATACTTTCCCAGAAAATATGTATACCAAAATTTGTTATTATTATTTCATAATTTTTAATTTGATAAACAGTAATAATCATAGTAAATTAATTATACTAGAGCACCGTTTGGACGGGCTTATAAAAAAATTATTTTTATGTCTTGCTTATTTTATAAATACTTTTTTATAAAATTTAAATTTATTTAAATTTTATAAAAGAAAAATTATTTTTTGAAAATAATATTTTACTTTTGACTTCTATTTTTTTTAGAAGCTAAAACATTTAGCTTCCTATAAAGTAATTTTTGGCTTTTTAAGTGATTTGTGTTTTTTTAAAGGAAACATTCAAACAGATCTTGTAATAATAGTGTTTTTTTTTTCTTTAAAAAAAGTAGTTTTTGACTAAAGAAACTCATCCAATTTGCCACCTTTAGTTTTGTTTCATTGAGTTTTTATTTTCTTTTTCATTGTTTATGTTGTGAATCCTAATTTATCTGATTATTTTTATTAAATACATTATATTAAGAGATGCTATTATTCTGAATCTTTATTCATTCTGCTTAATCAATTTCACACACGCTTTGGTTTTAGTAGGTGTCAAAAATTCAGTACAGGTATAATCTACTTCTTTCATTCATAGTTTTCCTCTTCAACTGAGATGTATTTATACATACGTAATACATAAATTGAAGCTGAGATAAAGCCTAAAGAGCCTCTAACAACTTCCTAAAGAAACAGTCTGCATAAAATCAGGTGCTTAAAATAGAAATTCAAATTTAAACTTTTGCAACAATGTTTAAAATTTAAATTTCCTAATCCTGGTTACCAAAAAAAAAAATTCCTAATCCAACTGTAAGTGACTAGGTGTCATCTTTGGCTTATAACTAAGAATATTATCCACGTTACTTAGGATAAAATTAATGTATTATATATGTAAACAAGTTTATTTATTTATTTTTTGAATAAACTCAAAATGTAGGAGGAGACTAATTCTTTTGTGGCTTGGATTGAGAAGATTTTTACCACCGATCCCAAAATACTTCTCCTAGTAATCAAACTCATTATTTTATTAGCCACCAAAATTTTACCTTTGAATTGCAATCCGCTAACCAACTCAGCTACATTTTGAGGTCGTAAACAAGTTTGTTATTCAATTGAAACCAATCTAATTTTAGAATCAGTAATGCTGGGGTGTGGTGACGTTTATTTGGATTTTGTTAATTTTAACAGTTCAATTAGGGATTTAGATTGTTTCATATTTCTTTTCAGAAAATAAGGTAGAAAAATAGTTATAGTAAAATTCATTATTATTTGTATAGAATTTATTAAATTTACTTTTAATTTTTCTGGATAACATGAAAGAAAACATACAAAAAAAGAAAGAAAAAAAAAGCATGAGTAGATGTAAATCTATTGCAAGAAATATCATAAGAAATCCACAGGAAATATGTCTGCTATACACACAGGGAAAAATTGACCTTAACCATCTTCCCTGCATTGAAGAAGACAGTTCTGGAATCTGGAGCTCTGAATTCAAGATTTCTACGTGACGAGAAAGCATTGAAAATATAGACTTATACTATATTAAGCAAGGGGCAGGTTATATTTACAAATTTTTTTATTTACAAACTCTTACAAACTACACTAAGTACGACCGCTCATACTTTAATCATGCAGTGTACGACCGGTCGTACTTAGTGTAATTTGCAAAAAAAAATTGTAAACGGATCCTATCCCATTAAATAATAAGCACAGTTGGAGTCGTAGAGAGAAAAGGTGCCAACACATAGTGATCGTAGTTATGGTTATTCTAACAGTCTAAAGGTCAATATCCCTTCTCAAAATTATATTACCTCTAAATCACTAGCAGCAAGATGGCCGAATCTCATTGTCTGCTACTCCACTTACATCTCATATATTTATACATAAATGTACAAGCTAGCCTTGCATTACAATAATGCTTTTGTTAGCCTTAGATATCACTATGAGCATAGGTTTAGGCGTTTCTACTAGAGAAAAGCTCACTTCATGTTTGAGCTTTTGCAAAACCAAAGTCTGTGAGTTTTGCTCTGGAGCCACGCATGAAATTGTACGGATATCCTTGTCACTGGCACCGCAGGGAAGGTCATCTCTTAACAGCAAGAATTATCAGGAGATGAAATAAATAATAGCATTCTCATTGAAGCCAAAACTTCCCAAGTCACACCTCTGAGTCTTCAACTTCTGATTTTACGACAAAACTGGGGAATGCTAAGGTAATATCCCTGCAAAAAAGGGGAGGAGACATGCATGAAAAGTTCAGTCATCAAAAGTATACTCGTGTATATATCACCAGAGAAGCTATGTTTACTGAAATTCCAGTTACTGAAAAAACAAGGTTCATGGAGAGCTTATACTGACTTTAGATATGGTAGAGTCATGTTCTTTATCAAGGATGGATGTTTAGACACAAGTGCTTTCCACTCATCTTGATCGATCCTTCCATCACCTTTTGTATCAGCATCACTAAAAGTCTGTAGAAGAAGGTATACAACTTTAAAGAACACTAATTTCAAGGAGTTCTTAAAAGTAATAATAAGGTAAAACTTTATGAACCTTATCCACAATGGCTTCAATCATATCCTCTGAAAGCATAAGATCCGACTCGTGCAGAAGTGCTAATACCATCTCCTTCAGCTGCACATAAACCATTACTCTAAGCAGTGGAAGTAAAGGGTAGATCTAAACATATAAGAGAGAGCACAAATGTCCATGAATTATGGATAAGACTAAAGAACCCTTTGTAATGTTAATGTAGGTAAGAAAATTCACGACTCATGAGAGTGTATTTCAAACGTAGAAAGTATAAAATCAGCAATTAATTGTAAATTGATCGAGGAAATGAAAGAAAAGCATACCTCATCCCGTTCAATATACCCTGTCTGCCTCAGATCATACAACCTAAAAGTAACTGCAAAATCATTATTCCCAAGTTAATAGAAGATAAAGTATCTGATGGGTGATTGAAAACCATTAATGCAACAGAACATAAATAACCAGTGCTTATATATCTTGCAGATAGACTGTTTAATACAGGAAACTCCAAAACTCGGGAAAAGAAAAAATACAATAAAATGAAATCTTTATCTTGGAGAATCAATCTTACATGCAACCTTGTCTTCTAAAGATGCATTTGGGTGGAAAACACCCAATGATCGAACAAATTCCCCGAACTCAATGACCCCATTACGCTTGACATCAAATAAGTCAAAAATCTAAAAAAAAAGAAACAAATGTAAAATATGCATTAGAATGAGACACTACAAGTACGCAAGACAATGTCAAAAGAAGTAATATCATGTATAACAGATGATACATCAGATAAAAAAGATTTCATTGGAGGTAAACATCCTCGAAAATTTCAGATACGATAAGCTATAACTCAAAAGTCACCAAGAACTTGAATTACAAACCCTGTCTGCAAACAGATTTCTCTTGTTTTTATTCCTGAAAAGTGCCAGCTGGAATTCTTCCTGGATGTAAAGATGATCAAGAAGTAAATTATCTATTAGAGATTAGGTACCAAAATTAAGAACATCTCATATAAACTAAAATCATAACTTAAAACTACCTAACTCACCCTGTGAATAAGACCATCTTCAATAATTGAATTGCTCAACTTCGTATAGAGTTCATGTAAGGCCTCTACTTCACTCACAGTAACTGTGAAGAAAGAAAACTTACTTTTTATCAGTTTTGAAACTTAATATTGAGCTCATGAGAATGACAAATCACGACTTAGGAAGGTTTATACTAACAGTAATATGAAGTGAAAGCCTGTAAGCTCCCTGTCAATCATGTACCACAACAGTAAAAATTATAGTCCGTATGTTATAATTTAAATCTTTTCAGTCATTATTACCTTAACTTGTTTTAAATAAAACTAAATGCTTTGCATTTGGAATGAGAAAAACTAAAAATCAATACCCATCAATGCAATGCAAAGAACTTTTATATTTTTAACAAAAGATATTGAAAAGAGAGAGAGAGAGAGAGAAGAAGAAGAAGAAGACACATGTATCTGTGGTGTTAGTGTTTCCTACAGCTTGAACTTTAAATTCAACAGTATGAATTAAGATTTTCTGTTAATCTAAGAGATGTGTGTGTGAGTGTGTTTAGGTGGAGTGTTAAAGGGAATACAAATATCTGTACACTAGAAAATTTGTAATTACAAAAAAAAATATTTTTTTACTTCTTTTCTTAAACTAATTAAAGGGAAGTACTGCTGTCTGGTGATTGCATATTACATGCAGAAGAATCATATTTGAAACCTTCGATACCCCAACAATCAGAGTTTATTAAATTATCATTTGTCAAAATGAACTATGAGTAATTAGGAGTAACTGAAAGGAGTGCGCCAGAGAATTTGAATTGAAGTTCTAACTTTGCGATTTATTATGTATAGCTTATTATTAGCTTAAAGATTAGCAAACCTTACAAACTTATTAAGTCATTAATTAATATACTAAATTCATAAATTGAAACTGGGGATGGAATACCATTAGATTATTGGACTAGGTAGAATAGAATTACAAAAAACATACTTAGCAAAAGGACAATGATGCTTCTTAGCATAAGACAAAGCAAAATTTTAACAGCACAGCTGCAAGAGTTTACCACTTTATGATGGATACTCACAAGGTGTCTCAGAAGCAAGAACAGTGGGCTCCTCATAACCGGGTGTTTTGGCTTTCTTTGAAGTTGAACAGTAGCAGCCCATTAAATAAACCACAAAATTCACTTCCAAATTTCTTGACAATCAATAGATTCATTCCAGTGAAGCCACTGGGACAAACAAGGGATTTTTTAATATCTGCAAAAAAAGTGGAAGTTTCAATCACAACTATAATTTCATCTTCAGGTTCTAGACAATTCACTTGTGATTTGAGAATTATCGAAAGAGCACAACAGAATTATATCAAACTACAACCATCCAATGTAAATAAACAATTCAGTCACAGCTAAATGGCATATAGCAGACTAAAAAAATCATATAAATGATCTCAATATCACTACCGACTCACATTATTTCATCCCCCTTAAGTTTCATTAAAGGAAGGATAAATAATGACCCTTGTGCTTACAAGATGAGTGCATGAGCTTGTACAACTACAATTAACGGAACTACTTGCAAAGAAAGAAAAAAGCTCAAGACTACCAAACTTTATCACCCTGTAAAAGTACCATACAGCCTAAAAATATAAATTAATGCAAACCTGTGAAGGAAAAGAAAACGTGAAAGTAAGATGCATGACATGCGAGAAGCCGCAAATACAACATGCATGACATGGCTTGTTATCTCCTCAAATAATGAGTTAGAATCGTGTTGATGTTTATCTATTGGGACCAGAAGTTTCACCATCTTTTACTTATCAAAGTTCTCAAAAAGTCAAAGCAGATCAAGAAAGAAAGAAAAAAAGAGTTCCTCCCTTATATGAAAAATCCGTAAGGTAAAACAAAACGACTCTGGTGCCTGAAACATGATCTAATTATATGGACGGTCACATCTTTTTTTCCTTTTTTTTTTAAATTTCTTTCCGGGCCTCTTAATATACTCAATTGCTCAAGACGCAGTAATAAAGCTAAACAATATAAAACGGGAAACGAAGTGTCCTGGCACGCCCCCTAAATGCATATTTCTTTATACATTTACACCATCTTAGTTTGACTTTGCCGTACTAAATTTAATTGATGGCTCAGATTCTTTACAAGTTCATTTTCCAAATGAAATGGACATGAAAAAAAATAATAATAATACAAATTCAAGTCCTTTTCATAACAAAATTTGGATTCAGGGAGAAAGTGAGATGAACTGGTACAAAATATTTAAAAACTATTAGATATTTAGACCTACAGCAAATCAAAATAAGCAAGGGTCCTAATCCATGGTCTGATGACACCAGTTAGTGTAGGTTCCTAGTTTGGCCCACTTTATTCTTGGTGACCAACCAAGCAAGTACCATGATGCCTAATAAACAATAGCAACTTCGACAACGTTTGGTATTAAAAAATAAAAAAAGAGGTATCGCATCTATAATTCACAGGGCAGGAACACTTCGAAGAAGAAAAGAAAATCCTGAACCAGAAAAGCCTTAATAACATTAACAGAACCTGAGAAATGTTATGTGAACAGATCTTGCCTCCCCCACTAAAGGGGAACAGATCTTTTCTCAAGTTTCCAAAATCTTTGTATTTTATGATATCCCCCACCCAAAAAATAAATAAATAAAGTGCGAAACTAGTAGATCGGTTGGGCCAATAGTGTAATTGAAAAGTCACATTCGTTGCCCATGCTTCATTATTTTTTCTACACCTTTTCCGGCAGATGCTAAGAATGAAATCACACTACCCGAGGCCGCAGCTGAAAATTACATACCTTTTGCACCACTATTCACAGGTAGCAAAGCTCAGTTCAAATTCTCAACTTAATGTTTGTATATATTAAAACTTCCAACTTTGTATGAAAAACAAAAAAACAAAAAATTGGCGACACAGACACAGTGCTCTTATAAAATTCTCATTATATGCAGGTCCAGAGAAGAGATGGGTCAGATATATTGTGAGAATTAATAATAAATAGTCTTATGTTTCATTTGCAGGAAATAATTAGACTCATTGTGGGAATCTATAACAAACCGTCTTATTTTCCATTTTTTCAAAGGAAATATTAAATGATTCCAAACACATGATCTCACATGTCACCAACCAAATGTTGTGGCAAAGCTCTAAAATAAAATTGGAGTCTTTTTTAACTATAAAGTGTAAGACAGCAGATCCTAGAGCAATTGAAATGTTACACGTTTTGTAACCAAAAAAAAGAAACAAAGTTACACGTTCCCATGCCCCATTATTTTTCCTGCACCTTTTTCCGCAAACGGTACCAAAAATATCACAGCCAGGGGACGTAAAAGGATAAAAAAAAAAATTTACGACAATCATGCTTTAAAAGAATATAATTGCAAAGTGACTATTCCGAAAATATCATCAAAAAAACTATAGGTTAAAATATTATTAAAATTTTATCCCAAAAAAAATGTAAAAAAGTTTCAGTAAATTTCAAAATTACCCTCCATTTGATAATATTTTTGAATGACATTTAAAAAAAAAATTATATACAAAATAAAATTCAAGAAAAATCAGATTTTCAGTAAAATTTTCAAAAAAATTATAACAAACGTAAATAAATAAATAAAATTACCACCGTCATTTTCTCAAAAATTTCCTACCAAACACCCCGTAATATCTTTTATCACTATTCACAAGTAGCGTAGCTATTTACAAATTTTCAGCTTAATACTCGTATATATCCCAACTTTTTATAAACGAAAAAACAAAACAAAAAAGGGCAACCTGGTGCTAATTCTCTGGCTTCCAATGAACAATAGAAAAATCAGCATTTGAGTTCATCTGTTTTCCTAGGAGTTTCAGAAAATTGTAATTGTTTCCGTAATCCTAGGCCCGCTTATTCGAATTTGCTATGATTCATTGACAACTCAGCTCAAAGCAGGGTGGACTCGGAAAAATCTAGAACAAACTAAACCCATCCTTAAGATCGTAATCTATACTTCAAATGGAGGATCTACGTTCGATCATTCAAGAACGATCACAAAACAGTTTGGTTCTTGACGAATTTACAAATGTAGATTTCCATCTAATTAACGGAACAACAAGAATAATCAGTATTCAGCGAGATTGAAAATTTTCACTATGGATAAAGGACAAGATCATATAGAGATACTCAAGATTTGAAACGAATAAAGATCATATAACTTTTCGTCATCGTGTCCTGAGTTTTCTGCTAAAGTGAAACAAACAAAACCTCTCTCTCTCTCTCTCTCTCTTCCGAAGAAGGAGGAGGAAAACAGGAGCAAACACCGAGAAGAGATGGCATCGTTTAACAACAAAAATTAATGAGTGCATAAACATAAAGAAAGAGGGAAAGAGAGAAACTTACCTGTTATGTTGAGACTTTAGGACCCAAGTTGAGCTTCTTGAATTAGATTATACAATATACACAATATATGGATGCTATGTATATGGTAGCAAGATTGAGATATGAGAGAAAACAAAACAATAGGAGGGTGGTAATCTTAAATTAAGTTGTTAGCTTTAAAAAGTTGAAGAAATAGAAATGGGAGAGGGAGATAGCGTAGTAAGGGGGGTGGGGAGGGTCTAGTTTCTAACGTTTGAGAATAGCTTGTGTTCCAATTCCCAGTTTTTGTTCTAAATTTATAGTCAAATGAAGCATGACATAGCAGAGTACCATCACAGTTGGAGGCGGAAAATTTTGAACTATTCTTCCATCTATTCCAGCTGGTAGCGGGCCCCACCCCGATTGTGTCATCTTTCCACGAACAAAACTCCTACATCCCATCATCAATGAGAGCCTACTTCTGCATTTTAGCAAATATAAAATTTATAATTTCTTTTTGAACGAAAGTTCAGGGGGATACTGTTTTAATTTAAAATTTTAAGGTGTTGCATTAGAAGTTTTTTAGTAGTTTATATTATTTTTTAATATATCCCTACATAAGAGTAACTTGAAGTGTGGATATTGTATATGCCTTTTTATTTTAATTTGTGCTTATTTAATTTCACTAGAAAGTGGGGGCAGTGAGGAATGAATTTGTGATTTCATGGTCACTGAAGTTCTGATAATATGTAAATATTTATTTCAACTCAAAGTCTTCAAGTATTGGGTGTGAGCTTTTTTAATAATTTATATTATTCTTTAACAGATAGTACTGAAAATATTCTTGTTTTCCACATTATATCCCATATTATACACTTGTTTTTTGTTTTTTATTTTTCTTTTGAAAATATTTCATCGGTTCATGGCTTTGCAACTACTTCGATTTGGGGCGGATCTAGGATTAAGGCTTTAAACCCTTACCAAAGATGATACTAGGGAGGATCAAAAACATACTCTAACCCCCACCTGCCCCAATTGAGCTACCACTATTTGGAGTTACTTTATACTTTATTGACATTCCCAAAATGGAGTTAATTTTAGCAAGCATCTAAGTATTATGTTTCTATTTAAATTTCATTCTTGGTAGGGGTGTTCGTGATATGGATTGGATCGGTTTTGGAAGCAAAAATATCTGATCCAATCCCTTCGGTTTAATTATATAATCATCCAATCGTTTTGGATTTTTTTCAAATCCAATCCAATTTTATTTGATTTGAATTTCATCAGTTTTCGATTTTCGATTTTTTGAAAAGTCTAAAACTTGTATGATGATTATTATGCAAATAGCATATCTTTTATATGTATTGACTTTGTAAAGTTTGTATAATGATTATTATGTAATCTAGAAGCATCTGTAAACGATAATCTAATTTTCAATGTAGTACAGCAAAAAGTTGAATAACTATTTTTTTCTTCCAACAAAACATTTACAACATGGTTGCCTGAGATACGGAGTAACCCAAATTTTCATCCTATAGAGGAGTTGTTATACATAGGGTTGGCAAAACGGGCCAACCCAGGTCGACTCGGCCCAACCCGTGTGCAACCCAAAAAAAGGAGTCGGGTTAGGGTTGGCTCGAAAAAATGAGCCAACAAATCAAACCCAACCTGACCCGAGCCATGTTAGGATTGGCTCGAAAAAATGGCTTGTGGGTTGACTTGAAAGAATGGCTCGCAGATTGGCTCAAAAATTGGCAGGTTGGCTCGTTTTTAGCCTATTTATGAACCTGTAGTATTAATGCACCAGCTATGTGGCTTCCATCAGCTTAAACAATAGAATTGTCTTACATAATAGTTTATAAAAAAAGAAAAATAGAAAAAGGTTACAGAATAAGAAGCAAAATGTTCTAGTTTCGAATTTTCTTCACAACAAATTTGCACCAACATCGAAAAACAATCAGAACCACTTGCTACCAAGTGGATAAGATATTTGAACCAAACAAAGCCAGCACTGCACAGCCTAACAATATAATGGCAGCGATGTAAGAAGATTAGGGACTTAGGTTTAGAGAAGGAAGAAAAACTACGACGGTGTGTGTGAGTTTTGTCCATTTTTTATATTATATTTTGTATTTAAAAAAAATCCAACCCATGAGCTAGCTCGTTTGACCCGCGGGTTGACTCATTTTTTCCCGAGCTGGCTCGGGTTTGATTGGCTCATTTTTGCCAACCCTAGTTGTACAGCAATAGCCCATGCAATAAAAATATATGATCTATCTTACCTAAAAAAAAGCATAACATAGATCAAATACAATTCACTTTCTCCAACATGATGGGTTAGTAAGTCTTGGGTTTTGAATTTTGCTAAATGGTTTTTGGGCTATAATTGGGGAAAGGCCCAAGTAGGTCGATGGTAGGGTTGGGAATCATTGAATCGGTTTGGATTGGATCGATTTTTACCAAACAAACCAAAAATCGGCGCAATCTAATTAAATTTTGCGTTTTTTTTTCTGGTTTTCGATTGATTCGATTCTCGATTTTTTGATTTAATCACCGCAATTTGAATCGGTTTGGATCGGTGAATGAATACTCCTAATTCTTGTTGCGAGTTTATTTTCTTAACCTTAAGTTTTAACTGAAAATTGTGACATATCTTAAATCTTCTTTTTAATTTTAATTTTTTTTTTTTTTTTTACATTCTTGCCCCTGCACGGGTCCTATTACAATTAGCTGAAATTTTACATGATTTAAGTAATTAGCTATCAAGTAACTATTTTAAGTAATTCACCAACTTACGATTAACTTTATACAAATTTATATGCATAAACTTGGGCATAATTTCATATACTACCCAATCATAATAAAAAAAATTATAATTTTATTTTAAGCAACAACACAATTATGTTTTTTTATCATGCTAAAATTCAAAATTTTAATGTATTAAATATTAACTAAAATATAAATGACCGCTTGCGTGCTAAATGCCTAATCATTCACATATGAAAAATGATGAGTAATTAAGGATATCCTTCGAGGAGCTTACCAAAAAAGAAGAAGAGGATATCCTTCAAGGAATCAAGGAGTTATCAACAACGTAATTGTCAATATTACAAGCAAAAACCTGAGAAATTGAATTACTACCTTCTTGGAACAAATGACTTAACTTAGGAAACCATTGTTTGTGGTATAAGACAATGACGTCTTTTGTAATTTGAATAAATACGAGGGTTACGACTTACCAATTTAATACAAATAAAGATAAAGATAAATAGACTGGGGTTAATCGAATTAACAAACTGATGAGTACGGTACAGTATAATTTTTATGGGTTTCGTTTTTTAATTATTATTATACGGTAGAGGTCATAATTATATATTTTAACATTATACTAATGCTCAATGTGCTACGCTTCGAAGAACATGTTCCACTGTTAGCGAATAACAAAATTCTCGCAGAACCATACATGATAGATAGTACAAAAATAAAAGACAAAGTTATGGGATAAAAATATGAGATACATCACATAATAGGAAAGTAATTTGATACTTTAAAAATGCAAGTGTCATTTTATGAATGTCAAAATTAAATTAACTTACTTGTTTATATATATATATATATATATATATATGAAAAAGTGTTTGTCATTTTAAATGACAGAAAGTTATGTCATTTTGAGAGAGATACAGACACAGAAAATTTGAATTTTAAATTAAAAAAAAACACTCACTTTCTCTCTCCCATAATTTTAGTTTTTTTGTGTCTATCTCTTTTCTAAAATGACATAACTTATGTCATTTAAAATGACAAACACTAAACTCATATATATATATATATAGTAAACCAAAACTAATTACTGTTTTAAGGCGGAGAGTTGGCTTCTTCCGGTATTCTTAAATTTTGACTTTTTAAAGAGTCGGTTATATGACTAATTTGAAATATGGAGCGGGTCAAGAATAAAAATATTTAAACTCTTTACAAACATAATATATGAGAGTTACCAATATACAAAATTCTCTAATCTTTTCATCCCTTTCTATCAATTGAACTACCGATATTTGTTACTTGTTTTATTTAAACCATAGGAGATACGATTGAATAATAATCACTTGATGATAATTACTTTATTTATTTGACTGTTCTTTTCTTTTCTTTTCTTTTTTTACTTTTACAAATTGCGACCTAGTTTTTTCTCTAATTAAATAATGATAATTCAACAAAAAAAAATTGTCAATCAATAAATTTAATATTTATGCAAATTTTTCACAAAGTAATTGGATAAAATAATTCAATAAAATGAAGTGCAAAATTCAATTCCAAGGCGCTATCAAGGAAAATAGAAGTTATCGCAAAGCTTAGGATCCAAATTAGGAACAACGGTTATTTTTCCACTTGACCAACGAAAATGTTTCATATAGTTGGCAAAGAGGACGCATGTCCTCGAAGAAAGTGAGCGAATAAGAGCCATATGAGAAAATGTTTTGCTGTGAGTTTTTGGTCCCTTAGATATGACAAAATATCTCGAGATTTGTATCATAAAACAAACAAACAAACTTCACTGACAAATTATAAATATGTCCTGAAGCTTACCATAGCAATACCCTATATGAGAAACTCTTTTTATGGACAACATAAAAATCCAAAGGAGAACCATTGATAGTAGAGAAGAAAGGAAAAAGGAAAAAGAGATAACAAAAAATAATGATGATGATTGTTTGTCCCTGAAGTTTGTCAAAAAAAATAAGTTGTCACCGTATGCATCACTACTAAATTTTTTTACAATGAGCGTAAAATAATAATTGAAAATCTTCTAGTCAATGATTTGAATGTATGTGTGGTTTCTGTTAAAAAATGAAAAACTTTAAGCAAAAACATTGAAATACCTTTTACAATTTAAAATATCTTTGTGGTAAATGTTGGTTGAAGTAAATAATTTTTTTTGAATACAAAGATGGAATCAATTGAACACATAAGTTAATATAAACTACCCAAACCCCTCACTATTAGACCAAACATAGTGGCTTGGTTGGAGTAAATATTATTCATAACTTTTTGTATAATCTTCTAGATGTAAAATGATATTGTCTTTGCTGTAAAAGATAGTAATAAGAGTAGGTTATATTACGGTGTTATTGAAATTCTTTTACCCAGTTGAGCCCATAAATTTTTTTTTGTCTTACA